GTATCCCAATTGGAAACAAAGTGTCTTCCTGAGCTTCTGTGGGATAGATGTCCGCAAAACCTTTCTCAGTCATATTCTGGAGGAGTTCGAAAGTAAAGGAATCCAGACGAGCTTAGAAGCGGTCAGAGGATCGAGAATCGCCATTATCTTGCTCTCGAGGAACTACACTTCCTCGCCGAGGTACCTCCACGAGCTGGTGGAGATAATGAAGTGCAGGGAAGAGTTGAATCAAGTAGTAGTACCAATCTTTTATGACTTGGATCCAATTGATGTAAGAACGCAGACCCGAGATTTTGGGAAAGTCTTGGAAAAAACATGTGAGGGTGAAACAAAGGAAGCCATTGGGAGATGGATTCGAGCTTTGGAACAAGTGGCTACAATCGCTGGTTACCATTCACGCAGCTGGTTAGTCCTTATGATTTACATTTTAAAGAAAATGTGTATGTGAATGATTCATAACTGACTATCTACTATGTTTTCATCCTCCGCCTTTCTTAGGGATAATGAAGGGGATATGATCGAAAATATAGCCACCCATGTATCAAACATTTTGAAGAATTCAACTCCATCAAGTGATTTACAAGGAATATCTAATGGGTTACTACATGCAGTCTACATCTACTGCGCAGATACATTACAGTACTCCTTCGCCAACCACCTCTCTGTGGATTTTCGTCGGAAACGCATCGCTGCATTTGTAAATTGTAATAAGACTAAGGATGTGACAGAAGGAGCTAGCGCTTCTGTGGTGGTTATCTCCAAGGACTACTTGTCCTCCACTTTATGCCTAGACAAGCTCGTGAGGGTTCTTCAGACGCAGAGGAAAACCGGTCAGCTGGTGGTTCCAGTGTTCTATGGCATTACTCCATCAGATGTGGTGGTGCAGGAGCACGAGTCAGCAGGTCGAATAAGAGAATGGAGTAGCGCGCTCCAAAAACTGAAAGACTTACCAGGCCACCAGTCTAGGTAACTGTGTTTATAGATTAGTCTGTCGCTTGCATTTTTAGAAGAAGATAACTTCCTATTTGAAAATGCTTTCCACTTATCAAATCTAACACTAAAAAGAGAAATTGTACTAATATTGAAGGTTGTATATGGACCTAATAGAATTGTTATGATAGATTGAACAATATGCTTCACAAAATGCGAGGCAATTTATCCAAAACATTTTTGCCCTTTAGTATTCATTACTCTTTTCTCCAACAATTCACTTTATGATTTTTATACTAATGCAAACAGGGGGGAGTGTAGTGAGTGCGAAGTTGTGGAAGAGATTGTCAAAGATGTGTACGGAAAACTCTTTCCCACGGAACAAATAGGAATCAACTCGAAACTGCTAGAGATAGAACAGTTACTTTGCAAGCAACCATGGGGTATCCGTCGCATAGGAATTTGGGGTATGCCCGGCATAGGCAAGACGACACTTGCTAAAGCAGTTTTTGACCAGATCTCTGGAGGCTATGAAGCTTCTTGTTTCATCAAACAATTTGACAAAGCTTTCCATGAGAAGGGACCTCACCGTCTGTTGGAGGAACATTTTGGGAAAATTTTGAAGGAATTGCCTCGTGTATGCAGTAGTATTACGAGACCTAGCCTCCCCAATGACAAAATAAACAAGAAGAGAACTCTTGTTGTTCTTGATGATGTGCACAATTCATTGGTTGCCGAGTCTTTTCTTGGAAAGTTTCATTGGTTTGGACCGGGAAGCCTAGTCATCATAACCTCCAGAGATAAACAAGTGTACCGCCATTGTCAGATCAATCATGTGTATGAGGTTCAGAGTTTAAACGAGAGTGAGGCACTGCAGCTATTCTCTCAGTGTGCATTTGGAAAAGATATAACAGAACAAAAATTCCTGGAACTATCAATGGAACTGATTGACTATACTTGTGGAAATCCATTTGCTCCCAGCTTTTACGGCAAAGAGCTGAAGGGAAAGAAGATGTCAGAAATAGAGACCTCATTCCTCAAATTCAAGCTACGTACTCCAAATAAGATTCATGATTTATTCAAGAGCAGCTACGAAACGCTAAAGGACAGCGAGAAGAACATTTTTCTGGACATTGCTTGCTTCTTCAAGGGAGAAAATGTTGACTATGTGATGCAACTGCTTGAGGGGTGTGGGTTTTTTCCACATGTTGGGATTGATGTTCTTGTGGAGAAGTGTCTGGTGACTATTTCAGAGAACAGAGTGAAAATGCATAATCTAATAGAAGACTTTGGCCGAGAAATAATCAATGGAGAAACAGTACATATCGAGAGGCGTCGGAGGCTATGGGAACCTTGGAGCATTAAATTTCTACTTGAAGATGAGGGGCTTGTAGCAAATGGAGATCCGAATGTAACCTGTAGACTTGCTTTGGTCTGGCATATTCTGATATTTTCACAACTTACTTTTGGAGATGAGCCAACTTGTTGAACTATCAGCTTTCCTTTTCTTTCAGGGCACTGAGGACATCGAAGGCATATTTCTGGACACGACAAATTTACTCTTTGATGTGAAGCCCACTGCTTTCGCGAATATGCTTAACCTTAGATTTCTGAAGATTTATCATTCCAATTACCGAAACCTTTCTGGACTCCGCCTTCGAAAAGGGCTTGAGTCTCTTCCTTATGAGCTAAGACTTCTCCACTGGGAGAACTATCCTTTGCAATCCTTGCCCCAAGACTTTGACCCAAGCCACCTTGTTGAACTCAATCTGTCTTACAGTCAGCTTCAGAAACTTTGGGGAGGAACCAAGGTAAACAAACTCCTATCCTCTGTCTTATACCCTTTTCCAAATTTAAGTTAATTTTCTTACAGTTTAATTTTCTGTTCAGAACCTCGAGATGCTGAAGATGGTCAGGCTTTGTCATTCCCAGCAGCTAACTGAAATTGATGATATATGTAAAGCTCAAAATGTCGAGCTTATTGATCTACAAGGCTGCACAAAATTGCAGATTTTTCCAGCCACGTGCCAATTACAACATCTCCGAGTTGTAAACCTCTCAGGTTGCAGAGAGATCAAAAGTTTCCCAGAGGTTTCACCAAATATTGAGGAACTGCATCTCCAGGGAACTGGCATAACAGAATTACCAGTATCCATTGTGACCCTCTCCCAACAAGCTAAGTTGAACCGAGAACCGTCCAATCTTCCAGCAGATTTCTCAGGTGATTCAGATGCTTTGAACGTTCAGAGATCAAGCATCTCATCTAATCAGTATCTTGTTAAACTTGTTTGTCTGAATATGAAAGATTGTTCTCATTTGCGAAGCCTGCCTCACATGGTTGATTTAGAATCTCTTAAAGTTCTTAATATGTCTGGATGCTCAGAGCTCGAGCGAATTCAGGGTTTCCCACGAAACTTAAAAGAGTTATATCTTGCTGGCACAGCCATAAAAGAACTGCCACAGCTTCCCCAAAGTCTAGAAGTCTTGAATGCACATGGTTGTGTGTCACTCAAATCAATTCCTTTTGGTTTCAAGCAGTTCCCTAGGTATTGCGCTTTCAGTAATTGCTTTGCTCTTTCTGATCAAGTGGTCAGCGAATATATAAAGAACGCTCTCGCTTATGTAGAATGCACAGCAAAACAGTACCAGCAGGTAACG